CAAATTAGCACTTGTCCTCAGTTAACAACAGAAATAGCAGATCTTCTGCGTCCATCGTCCACTCAAAGACAACCTCCGCTCTGCAAACCTTGCTGTGTCTGTGCTGCTGTTTCTGTTGGCGTGTGTCATGAGCTGTGATGTGAAGACTTACCAGGAGTTCTCACTGAACTTTCTCTTTCAAGTACCAAATCCAGTCATCACTCTGTTGAAACCAGGTCTCTCTTGTATACGAGTCCTCGTGGCTCAATGGGACTAACCTGTTTGAATAAAGGTTGGATGAATGTGGACAAGTCTTTCATCCACTTGAGCGAAAACAAAAGTCTTAGGTCCAGAGACGAGTGCGGAATCAGAATAATATTATGATTGTACCGGGTGTAGAATCGGACCAAAGTAAATTCAATTTAATGTCGATAAGGCAGGAAAAGTTACACGCTCGGCGCTGAGGCGTCCGTCCCACTCGTCTTAACCCGGAAGCTGAAGCGGAGGCACGGGCCAATAAGCTGGGACGTTCTGTGAAACGGGGCCTCCACTTCCAGGTTGAGACGAGTTGGACGGACGCCTCAGCGCTGAGCCTGTAACTTTTCCTGCCTTATCGACACATCATTTATAACAGTGAACTTATGTTCGAAGGAGGGGCCGAGGGGGTTGATGCCAAAGGCTGAAGCATAGTTGATGCTTCAGACCAAATTATTCAGTGACCTCATGCTTTATGGAAGTCCTCTGGGAGAAGACCGGTCCCAGCAGGATGAAAATGTCACTGCACAGTAAAAGTGATCACCCGGGACAACTTCAGTTTGAGCCACAGTAATTCTTTCCTGGATGAGACAATTAAACCCGAGTCAAGGGAGCGAAAGGCCCCCACACCCAGAACAGAGCCCCGGGACTTCACCTTAGCTCCAGTGAAGACCTGGACTGTTCAGACCTGAACCACCGTCTTCACATTATTTACAGTCACTCACTCCGACTCTTAGCTGTTTAACATGGAAACTTTAGGATTCCCCCGTTCCTTGTTTTGAACGCACACCGACGTAGTCTCGTTAATTTGAACCCAAATCATTTGTTATAAAGACAAAGAAGGTAAAACATCCACATGACCTGGGCTGCTGTTTCTGTAGACGAACGGTGTCGACATGTCAGGAAAACAATGAAAGAGCTAAAAATAAAAGATAAATGTGGACGTAGAACCAGACTTAACTTGTTTTACATTTTTTACCTGTATTATTGATCATGCATCAGGATATGTGGATGTAACCATGTTTCATTATTTTTAGGACTTTGCGCTGTGTGTTCAGTACTTAAGTAGGAAAACAACCGTATTTGTGCGAGTGAGTGGACGCAGCAGCTGTGCGGCCCCGGCCACTATAAATCTGTCTGAAAGGCCTTTCTGTTGGGCTGAGAGCCTCCACTTCACTGCACTGAATAGCTGCCCAGCTGCACGCACTTTGTGCACGTGTCTGTGTCTCCGTGTGGGCATGAAGATGGGGTTCGGCTGAGTGGAGGCTTTGTCCCCCCCAGTTCTTCATGAGGCTGATAACAAAGAATTACCATAATCTACATTTAAAGCAGCTCGCAGTCTGATGTGTGTGTGTGTGTGTGTGTGTGTGTGTGTGCATGTGTGTGTGTGAGAGAGAGAGAAACTGTTTTCTAGTTTTTATGTTACTTGACTCGTGTTGGAGGCTGTCCACAGCATAGACATGTATACGTAGACACCTCGTTGAGCCGGCTGGCCCTCTGCAGCGGTACGTCGGGGCGTCGGCCATATTGGAAGTGTCAGAACTCCCGGTCAACTCGTACCAGGAAAATGACTGAACTTCATAAAGCGTCGTTCTACAAAGTGTTCTGAGTTGATCCCTGTCAATCACACACTGAAAAAACCTGGAAAACAAACAGGCATCAAAGACAACATTTATAACTTAACATGATTATTAAAAATGTTTACTCCTTAAATATTTATATATTTTATATATATTTATTTAAATATTATTTTATTGACTCTTTTGTCTTAAATATTTAGGTTATAAGTAAACACTAAACCAACATTTGTATTCTTTTGAGTGTTTACAACTAATAACGTGTGTAACAGTAATATTACTGTGGTGATAAATGTAGAAATATTCATGTTTAATATTTAATCTGTGTCTAACCACATGAGACCTGTTGATTTTCTGAATAAAGAACACTAACATTCACATTTAACTGATTTTGATGACTCCATCCATGAACATATGAACACCAATATATCTTAACAAGGCGTGTGTGTGTGTGTGTGTGTGTATGTACACACAGTCTCTGTGTGTGTGTGTGTGTGCACGTGTGCCAGTTATAAACCTTGGAAAAGAACAGTCCAGCTGTTTCCGTGCTGCCACTGTGAATGATTGAGGCATCTACGTATATATGTCTATGGTCCACAGCAGGTGTGGGCCGACCCAGGACGTATTACGAGTTTATTCTCGTAACTTTATGACTTTTCTCATAATGTATTTTTTCTTAGCGTGGCCCTACAGCTCCGTCGTCGTCCCTCTGCCTCAGACCAAAGAACCTCGCTCTGTTCTTCTCCTCGGTGTAACTCTTACACACACGAATGCTTTGTACCAAAAACATTTAGGTTTACTTCGTTCCCCGTTCTGTTCCAGTACAGAAAACACTCCTGTCCATCTCATTAGTCGAATCCCTTAGAGTCGGGGGACATTGGTCCACCGTTGCTTCAACGTTGCTTGTTTACCATAAAAGTTGATCTTTGTTTTAAAGTAAAACATGTTTATAATTTTATAAGTTTATAAGTTGAAGGTTACTGCCCTGTTAACGTCACAGGTCCAGGGTGTCCCCGCCTCTCGCACACTGATGGCTGGACATGGACACCAGTGACACCAGTGACCCCTGTGACCCCAGTGACACCAGTGACCCCTGTGACCCGAGAAAGAAGAAGTGGGTAAAAATGATGGATGGTGGGAAATGTAGTTCTCACACTTTTAATTTTACAGACAGGATGTTGGTGTCAGCGGTGTTTTCTGACGAGGAGCTCAAATACGATGCAGTCAGTAGGATCTAGGTCTGGACTATTCAACTGCTGGCCCAGGGGCCAAACCAGGCCCACGGATGAGTCTGGCCCACCAGTGGGTTCATTTTTAAATAAAACTACATTGGAAACTATAAAACTAACTTACTTAATGCCAATAACTGCAAGATGTCTGGCCCCCGACAGCCCTGATCTAGATGTTTGTCTTCACGCTCACACAAGAATCATTTCCACCTGAGGGTGTGGGACTGACCGGGGGGGGGGGGGGGGGGGTGTCTCACATGTGAAGCAGAGCCCAGTGGCTTTAACTGTACGCAGAAAAATGCAGTTTGATGCTGGAAGCCAGGAGTAGACCATGTGCTCATAGGATGAGGAAGTCCATCCCTTACAGCTCAAGGTTTTTATTCCGTAATAAAAACAATCTGGTTCTTACCACGTTCCCACAATAATTCTAATCTGAGTTAATCTGAAGGAAAACACAACAGATTCCAGTTCAGATTAAAATTTACCAACACCAGCAAGCAATATGTTCATGATGTCCCCCGACGTTGAGGGATTTGAACAGTGAGTGTTTGTAGTTTTAGAGATGAGTGTTTTTCTGGACTGGAACGGAACAGAGAATGTAAGTGAACCTAAATGTTTTTGATGCAAGATATTCAAGTGGGGGGCAGCACGGTGGCGCAACTGGTAGAGCTGCTGCCTCTCAGCAAACAGGTCCTTGGTTCAAACCCCGGTCCAGGGGCCTTTCTGGGTGGAGTTTGCATGTTCTCTCCGTGCATGCGTGGGTTTTCTCCGGGTACTCCAGTTTCCTCCCACAGACCAAAAACATGCATGTTAGGCTGATTGGTAACTCTAAATTGTCCCTAGGTGAGAGTGAGAGAGTGAATGGTTGTTTGTCTTGTTTGTCTCTATGTGTCCCTGTGATGGACTGGAGACCTGCCCAGGGTGTCCCCCGCCCCTCGCACAGTGATTGCTGGACATGGGCACCAGCGACCCCCGTGACCCAAAATGGAATAAACGGGTAAAGATAATGGATGAATGGATATTCAAGTGGGGAGGAGTTGGAGAAGACGAGAAGGAGGTGTTTTTACTGTCTGAGGCAGCGCAGCGTGACGGAGAGGAGGAGACATCCTCCTCCTCCAGGTGCAGTGGAGGAGCCAGGGGGTGGCCAGTGGTGGCCCTGACCATCATAGATTAATCTCTGGCCTCCATAATGATTGGGGAATCTGTACTTTTAATAAAAAAATAAAATAATAAAACTAGGATGCAGAGTTTCCTCGTCCAGCACTGCGTGTGACACATGTGAGCCAGGTGCTGCCGATCAAATGAATTGATTATTTGCAGGTCTCTCTTGTAAATGAGTCCCTGTGGGAGCTAACGTGTATAAATAAAGGTGGAATGGATCTGATCAGTGAGACGGTCACAGCAGCAGTTTTGTCACTTGGCTGCTCTGAGCATTAAACTAAATGAAAGTGTTTTCTTTTGACAGCTTCCAGCTCTTTTCTGAAATCATTTTGGAGCTCTGATTTTCTGTTCTCACCTGGAACTAGTCGAGCTATGACATCATCCCTTTATTCTTGTAGAACATCTGATCATCTTCCAAATGTATTTGTGCTTGAAGTCCAACTGGACTTGAAGGTTTACAAACTGTGCAAAGTCAAACTGCCTGCAAAGCTTCATTTGCTCTTGAATTCTGGACCCGCACCGCGTCTTCACGGAGCCGTCCAGGTCCGTCTGAGCAGAGGGAACTCTGGGAAACCACGCTCGGCTTCTGCACGAAACGGCTCCTGCGCTGGAACAACAAATGTCTCTGAATCTTGGAGTCTTTCATGTTTTTCCCACAGTGTCCTCTGCAGACGTAACCTATTTTTCCAGCAGAGATTAAACTTTTGATTTTACAAACTGAAATTTGCTCCTGTGGTGTGGAGGAGAGTCGGGTTCTTCACGTGTAAACTCGTGTTGTTGTCTCTGTGTTTCTCTGCAGTAAGCATGTTTCTCAACACCCTGACGCCCAAGTTCTACGTGGCTCTCACAGGCACTTCGTCCCTCATATCAGGACTTATATTGGTAAGATGCGTGCTCGTTGTGTGACCGTGCACACCTTGAAGCTGTAAAATATGTCACAATTATTAATTAATTAAGTAAAATAAAATAATTAATAATTAATTCACAATTATTCACAAAGGCTGCAAGTAAAGACTGAAACTACTGAATTAAAAACTGAATAAATTCTTGTGGAACAGTCGTGTCTCGTCAGCTTCACGTGTTAGCGTAACGGCCGAATGCTTCCAGGTGACGTTTAGACAAAGCTCGTTTACCGCCGTGTGGACGCTTGTTGCTGAATGAATCTGCTGAAAGCTGCTGAACAAGCTAAACACAACACAGAACAGTTAAAAAGAGCAGAAAATCAGCTGAAAGGAGCTGAAATTGGTACAAAGAACGTAACAAAGGCTGAACCAGAACCGAAGCTGACGTGAGCAGCAACAGGTTGTAAACGGCTCCGAGAGCTCGTTCATTTTCAGTGAGGGGCTGAAAAAGCTAAATATTGCAAAAGGTCAAGATGGCACAGGTACTAAATGTCCCAGCAGGAATGTCCTGAACGAGCCGAACATTTTCAGACGTGAAATGTTGAACAGGAACAAAACCAGGAACGAGGTGCGAGCTGAACAACGTGTCTGTGAAAGATCCTGAAACTCTGACACCGTTATCCCTCCAAAGACAATAAAAACAGTTTTACTTGAAAAAATGAATTTGGTAAAGCTTCATTCACTGGTTATAGAAGTCTGAAACCAGGGGTGTCCAGATGTTTTCATCATGCAGCGCCGTTGAAAAGGACCAAGTCAAAGTGGTCTACCTGCTAGAAGACCCCGTTTACACAAACACCTCTGGAAACTTTAGTGTTTTTTTATGTTTATTGGGGCTCATGAACGGGAGTGGTGGCACAGAGGTTAGACAAGGTGGGCCAGTGATCGGAAGATCGCTGGTTCAACTCCGACACTGAGGCTCAGACTGGCTGCCCTGTCTGTCAATCAAGAGACGCATTTCAGAGATGGATGATGACGTCTGGTTTTTGTGCCATGACATTTACCCAGAATACCTTGGTGATCCACAGGTAGGGTGTGATCGATGTACTGGGCACCCCTGTTGTAAGACATCGTAGGAGGTCTGTAGCTTCGTTTTTTTATCCACCAGTCGAAGGCGGGACGTGTTTCGAAGGAGGATCGGGACGTATTACAGTTTTGTCTCCATCCTGTCCAGGCCATAACTTCTGATCTGCTCAAGGTCATTTAATGAAACTTCATGGATCATCACTAGACGGAGTACCACATAAATTTTGATCACCCCAGCTGCAGTGTAAAGGTCACAAATCAAGGTCAAAGTTAAAACAAGGCGTTGCTACAGATTGCTGTAGGATAGTTTGTCGACGGGCGTAGGCCGTGATGCTTGTGGTGTTCTTGTATCATTTAGGTAACACACTAAATGTTTTTGTGCTTTTCAAACCACTGCAGAGCCATTTGGGGGCTGTTCTGTGTGCGATCAGTATAAAGAATATAAGTCGATCTCCTTCTCTCGGTTCCATTCAGGTTCATCACAGAACCAGGAAACGGCGTCATTTCATTCTTTAGGTGGCGCCTCTCTTAACGAACTGTCTCTGCAGCTGTTAGCCAATTTGTGTCGGCTGCGTTGAAATGGTGCTGAGCTTCTCACGTGCTCTCTTGGACACGGTCATGTGGGAAACCCACATCTTCTTTACAGAAATGATGTGCATTTCTTTCTTTGAGTCTCGGGTTAGTTTTGACGGGTTCTAGACACCGAGTCCACCCTTCAGTCTCCTTTATCACTGAGTGGTGCACGGACAAGACTTTCAGTGACTCGATGCCCAGAAGACAACGTCTCGGTGCTGCAGAAGGAGGCTCAAAGTTTAGTTCATTCTTTTGTAACTGTCACGGCTGACGTGATCGTCCATGGGTTTTCCCACAAAAGTAGTTTCAGTAAAACAATGAAATGATTTTTAGAAGTTAGTATAAAAATCTTTACTTTGACAACAAACTGCTCAAAACAAGCTCAATAAGAAAAGTTTGTGGACTTAGATGCATTTGAACTTGTGGTCCAACAGATCTGAATCACTCGGAGGTGCCGACTTTCAAAATGACCGAATGATACTTTCACTAGTTGAGTTCCCTGTCTGGACTCGAACTGAGTTGGTGAATACTGAGTAGGTGTGCTGTCCGGCCCGTAGGTGGGAGATAGACGCCAGTTAGCTGCTGCTAAAGTTCACCTCATCAGGTGTTTGGTCCCGTTTCTGCTGCCTTTAGTGTCTACGAGTTGATGAGGGGTGAGACTGAAATCAGGTTGTTTCCCTGTTGTTGCTTTTGGGGAGTGGTGGCGCAGTGGTCAGAGAAGATGGGCCTGTGATCGGAAAAGGTGAAACACCCACACCTGCCTCCACCCTCCCCCCACCTGCTCCCAAAAACAGGTCTCTCTTGAAATGAGTTATTGTGACTCAATGAGACTTCCTGTTTAAATAAAGGTTCAATGGAAAAAAGAAAAGATTTTAGCAAAATAAAACTCATTCAACATTTTGTTGATCGGATAATAAAATTCTCGTTTAACTCCAAACAATGAGTCAAAGTCTGTTTCTTCCATCAGATCTTCGAGTGGTGGTATTTCAGGAAGTACGGGACCTCGTTTATCGAGCAGGTGTCTGTGAGCCACCTGCGCCCCCTGCTGGGCGGAGTGGACAGCAGCTCTCCCACCAACTCCAGCACCAGTAACGGGGAGGCCGAGTCCAGTCGGCAAAGCGTGTCAGGTAAGAGCAAGTGTTTGGACACCTTTGGTCGTGTCGTCAGTACTTCACCGTGTGCTGGGAGTTCAGGAGACTCAGACATGTTCTCTTAAAAAAGAGTTTGTTCATGTCTTCATTTGTTTTTAGAAATGTTTTATTTCCTGGTTTCTCTGAGCTTTATTTCAAACCTTACTGAATTTACTGTAAACCTTTTTCTGCACAACTTACCAGATTGTGTACTCAGCCGTCATTTCACCAGGTCCCTTTGTTCCTGTGAACGCAGCCAACACATGGCAGCACCTCTGAGCTTTCAGGCTGTAGACGTGGGCAGAGAACTTCCTGAAGTTCCAACGGGCCGTCAGAATAATGAAGGGCTTTAAATGCAGCGTGGTTGTTCATGTCAGAAACTCTTGATCTACTTTTAACTTTAATGTCATAGAACAGAAGGCCGGACGACACGGACCAGAAATCACAAATCTATATTTTTAGCTAAATGGCGATATGTGATAAATAGCTTGAAATTGTTTTCCTCTCATAAAGTAACAAAAAGACACTTCTGAGTCCCAAATGTCACACGGGCTCTTTTATTAATATACAGCCATAAATGTTCACAAGAAAAGGCTCAGAAATAAACTGTTGGCTTACATTAAGTAAGAGCCCACCTCAAAATAAAATGATTTTATTTCATAACAAAATGACAGCAGTTCAATTAAAATGTAAACGGTAAAGATACAGAGCAAATTCAACAAAACGTTAACTCTCTGTTTAAAAAGACGTCGCTCTACCCAAAGATCCAGATCGAGTCTGAGCCAAACAGACGTGTTCTGTTACCCGCCGGGTGTCAGTAACTCCAACAGTCCCGTCGGGTTCATGCGACAGCGTTCAGTGGGCGGCTGCTTCAGTGATGTCACACCACCTCACGCTTTCAGCCGTGAGGCAAAGCGGGGTCTAAGAGTCCGTGCTTCGTTTCCAAGCAGGAGGCCTCCGTTGGTCTCCATCTTTGTCGCTGCCTACAAGTTTCCATGTGGAGCGCTGGGGGAGGGCTGGGGGAGGGCTGGGGGAGCGCTGGGTGAGGGCTGGGGGAGGGCTGGGGGAGCGCTGG